TGTGTTTTCTTTCATTATTTTATTGGTCAATATTCTCCTTGAAGTAGTATACGATCTTGGTCTTAATCTTGAATATTTAAGTAAAATTTTAATGATTTTTGACGAAGGTTAACTTACACGATATTTTGTAAATAATCTAACAAACTTTTGTAGATGTATATTTTGTGTTGAATAGTGTGTTTAAATAAGTAACTTGATTTCCATTCTGCTATTGACATGTAATGCAGAGTGTTAACTATGACGTCATAAAGTCACTTAATTTTTTTAAAGCATTATGGGGTCTGATTCAATGTCATGTTCTATGTCAATGTACCGGTACATCAAAGCCATCAATATAGCTCACGTTCTGAATAAATTGATTTCTATACCTGGAGAAATTTAGTAGCTATTTAACCTCATCCCCATCATATCGGTATGAGCATTAGGCCTACTTTATAAGTAATATTCTATATCCGGAAAATTAACACTTAAGTCCTATTGAGTAGACCTACACGCTGATATAATCTAATGCTTAGCATAATTAAATCATATCTCAATTTAGCAGAAATGTATAACAGATATGTATGCCTGAATGCCTGCCGTGTTGTGTGCGATAAAGTTAATTTTGTCTACATAACCATTTACTTTTTTTTGGTTAGTCTAACATGTAGGTCACAAGGATGATTAAGTAAAATAATGATTATTTCTAATTTATCAAAGGAAGTGTGCTTATGATTGGCTCCCGGTTTTCCATGTTTCATAAAGTATAAAAGTGTAATTTATATATGTTAATTAAGAAAGCGAATGTAATCAATGATATCCTGTGACCCAATTAGTTTACTTGTCTGTCGTATATCGTACACGTGGCCTATCTGTGGTTCAATAATACACCCAACGTCCTCTATGAGGGTGGGGGAGCGTGCCGACTAGGATGCCCCGTGAAATATAACCCCAAATGTCACATGAATTATATATAGTAGGCCTACGTAACTTCAAGATTTCAATTACATTATTTTCGTGACATAACATACCGTAGAAAAGAGTAATCTACAATCTGTCCCATCCGTCCATGATTTTGACCAATTGACCAGAGAATGATGCTACTTGGCAGCAAGTTTAGACCATGGAAGTAACTTTTCAAACGATGAACCATGGATGAACTGACCATGACTTGTATGATGAGCGAGGTTGCCAAGTGCTGTACGTTGACTTAATTAACGTTGTTTTACCCATTAACGCGAATCATCACTTCCTAATTCAACCAGTAAAAATGAGTATTTTAACATATGAAAGTGATAACATTTTAAAACCAACGTAGAACATTGTCACTCTATCAGACAATATCCAAATTTATAATATAATAACCACATTTACAGTGACGTAGATGACTTTTAAGTAGTAACCAGATATGGATACAATGCATCATGTTTTTTAAACTTGCTTATTTTGTCGGTACAAAAGCTATTAAGCGTTGTAATGAGATTATATAATTGTATAATAATTCTGTGTATAGCCGTTAACACCTATTGGTTTACAAAGCTTCTCCGTGATGATTGATAAGGGCGCAATCTAGTACGGTACCGTACAGTTCACGAGTTATAACCTGTAAAATACTGCAATGCCCTCGTATTAAATTTTATTTTAAATGGTTTTAGTCAATGGCACACTTTGTGGCGACAGGTATGACCTCTTTTGACATATGGCGCACCAAAACAAAAATGATTGGATTTTTTGTGTATGTGTGCAATTTTTGTTTGATTTACTGAATTTAATAAAATGATAATCAAACAAGAATAATGTAGTAACGGACCTAAAAAGAATACACTGGTTTAATTATCAACATTACCGGTAACTATCCTAGGGCCTAAATAGATTGAAATTGAAAATAGATACACGCCTCCTATTCAACATGTTTGCAAAACCTCAGTCCTGGATTCTCCACACTGTAGAAGCAAGGGTGAAATACCCATATTGATGAATAATTGTGTTTTGAAAGTGAAACCATTTTGTAAGAAGCCACACACACGCACTCCCCCCACTCCCACACACATATAT